GAAAGAGAAAGAGGCAACGAGAGTGAGGCACCTGGAGAAAGTGTCTCTGTGCGGTACTGGAAGATGGCTGAGAAGCCCCATTCCCACCTGGGTGGTCAAGAAAGCTATGGTTTGGACCCTACCTGGAGGTGGAATTCAGATCTGCCCTTATGTCTCGCACTAAGACCTGTGAGGGTGGATTCAGGGTCTGGTAGAAGATGCACGACACCTGGGAGAGCAAACAGTAAATAGGTTGTGATACAGGGGCGCAAACTAATTCATTCCAGAATGACATTTCAAGTGACCCAAGTGCTTTCTTACACCCACCTTGCATCTGAAACTGATTGTTCATTTGGCCAGCCTTTCCCTTTTCCTTCATCTTTGTAACTTCTCTGGTGTCCTGAAAAGCGAATTCCATGGCTTAGCGCTGCCGCAGGGGTTGCAAGGAGACACTTTGAAGACTGAGCTCAACGTGGGGTTTCCCCCCAGACCCTTGACTCAAGAGACCCAATTTCCTCTGGGGTCAGCACCTTGAGGAACTCACACACCTGAGGAACTTCAGCAGAGGCCACTGTCAGGGTGTGTGGAAGGTGAGAGCAGCTGGTTCACTAAGGCTGTCAGACCAAGTCCCCTTTCCTTTCAAAGGGAAGAAGTAGTAAAAGGGAAAGTGATAAAGAAAGTACAAAACGGCACCAATATCTATGGAAGTGATGAGGGGACAAGGAGGGGGACCAGAGATGTCCCGCCTCTGACTGATGGGCCATTCGGAAACTACAGGTGAGGCTTTGAAGTGGCTCAGCCTGAGCTGTGTAAGTGACAAGAAGTGACAGGAGGAACATGAGGATTATGGATGTCTGAGGGCGTCCTGCAGGACTGGGCAACACTTATGAAGGACTGCTTGGGGGAAAGCTCAATGTGGGGGCAAAGAGGGGACTGGGGAGGAGCAAGGGGAGGCAATAGAGAGGAGGAAGCATAAAAGGAGCTACCTGCACCTGAGCAGGGGCTGGTCAGTGCACTTGTGGGGATGAGCCCTGTGCCTGATTACCACAGTCCCTCTTGCTTTCTTATTCAATCCTTTCTTAACTACCCTTCCATGTATCTTCACAGCTTTTCCTTTGTCTGGGTGCTGGAAGGTCTGGGTGCCAGTAACTAGAGAGACTGGGAAAAGTGCGGGGACAAAAGGATGCGCCATAGGGATTGTAGACCTGGGTGCCAGCGACGGGAGGGGCCGGGAGGGGTGCAGCAAGATCTAATTTGCAGCAACTGGAGAAGAGGCCTCTGGTGACAGGACCTGTCAGTCTCTCTGCCAGCAGCTGGAGGGACTGGGCTATAAGCAAGGTCTGGTGCCCGCAACTGGAGGAGGAAGAACGTGTCACAGGGCTCATATGTCTTGCTGTTTAGCAACTGGAGGGACCACGCTGCAAGTGGCTGTGTGAGAGGTCGAAGGACCAGGGACTGGGGGACCTCAGCGTGTTCCTCTTTTTAATTTGTGAGTTGAACCCGATGTGCGTGGGTGCGTATCTGGTGTTTGGTAGCGTAGTTCCAGTAGGCCTAGCCAGTGAGTGGGGGGAAAAGCTGTATCTAAAGCCTGAGCCAGAGGCGGGTGAGGGAGCCCAAGGCCATCCCATGGGTACTAGACAGGCTGGTATTATCAGGCTGTGGTAACGTCTGAGGGAGCCGGGGGGGGGGAGGGGGGCGTGATTGTGAGGTAAGTGGGTGCTTTCATGCAGCTGTTTGCTAGTGAGCATCAGGCTGGCCGAGCCAGAGGGAAGGAGGAGACCCGGGGGCTGCGTAAGAGTGCCCAGGCCCAGGCCCTCGTAACCACAAGATGGGCCAAGACCTCACGCTGACATCCGTGGGTTTGCCTGTGACTCCGGGAGGGGTGGGGGGGTGTGTGGTGTGTGTGTTTTCACTAGGGTCCTGTATGTCACAGACGTACTGGAGACAGTAAAACAAAGGACACTTACATGGTAAAGAGCCTGGGGCATGTCTGGTACTGTGATAGGCTGAGGGAGCTGGGACTTCGGCACAGGGAAGTCTCAGGGGAGATCTCATCAGTGTGTACCAATACCTCAAGGGAGGGTGCGCAGAAGGCAGAGTCAGGCTCTTCTCCATGATGCCCAGTGACAGGACGAGAGACATTTGGCACAAACTGAAACAAAGGAGGCTCCGTCTGAACACCAGGAAAACCTTTTTCACGCTGAGGGTGAGGGAGCACTGGCACAGGATGCCCAGAGGGCTTGCGGAGTCTTCATCCGCGGAGGCATTCAAAAGCTGTCTGGACATGGTCCCATCAACCAGCTCCAGGTGACCCTCGGGGGTGGACCAGATGACCCCCCGAGATCCTTGCCAAATTTCATAATCCTGTGATTCCCTAAGACAAGGCGTGAGGAGAGCCTGAGAGAACTGGCTTTCTTCAGCCTTCGAAAGACAAGCTTGAGAGCTTTTCAATGCTTCTAACACTTGACTGGGGGATGCAGGGCCAGACGGAGCCAAGCTCTTCTTGAGTGCAGCAACCGAGCGAAAGGCAATGGACACAATCTGGAACGGGGAAAATTCCTATTAGAAATTTGGAATTGTGGGGTTTTTAACCATGGGGGTGGTGCACGGATGTAGATGGATCCCAGTAGGAATGGCACTCCTGCTCCATAGGGTGTTGCTTAAAATGTCATGAACTGGGGATAACACAAGAAGGAAGAAGGGGATAGCAGAAGGAAGAACACAAGGAAGAAGGGGACGTGCTTGTGGCATCATTGGGAAGTGTGCCAAGAGATTATACACGGCACAGCCCAGCATAGCATGCATCTGTGCCTGCTCAGGTCAGCTGTCATTGCAGGTCCCTAACTTCTCCATGAACAATTGTCTTGTGCTTACCGTGGGCCACTGCCTGTGGGCAAGTGGATTCCCAGGTTCATGAGGTACGTTTGTTTGGAGAGCAGGAAAAAGCTGACACTAGTTGGAAGGTTTGAAAGGGTCAGTCAGGGCCTGCAGGGCTTTAAGTGTCATTCTTCAGGTGTCTGAGACCTACATGCTAGGGCAGTGCCAGCAGAGGCCTTGGGGCAGACACTGATGCAACCAGATGCAGCCCAGCCACACAATGTGTAAGGGGAGGGGAGAGAAGAGACACAAGCATGAAGGCCGGAGAGACTGCCAGGGATGTGGCCTGGGATGATGGCTCTATTTCCCCTCCCGTTTGACATGTCCAAGTCCTAATGTTGGTGTAGATGTCTTACGTGTGCTGCAAAGGAAGTTCCATCTCTGTAGCCCCTTGGAGGGTGAGCTTCAGCCTGCTCTTCCAGCTGGGAAAGGCTTTGTCAGCCACGGGACCCTCCATAGCTCTAGGAACCTCCTTTTACACCATGGGGAGGTGCAGCACTTCCATGAGAATATTATCCTTGTTATTACCTTTATCATTACCTGGATCATTACTTGCCTCATTGGGGAGGTTTCTTGGAGCAAAGCCCCTGCTAGACTTAACCAAACTTAACAGGTGTTTTTCTCTCTCCCGTGACTGGTCTCCAAGGGTCTTGGAGGGGGGTCTCCAAGCCATGGCCATCCCCCAGCCCTTCGCATGCCCTTTCAGCTCTGGGGTGTAGGGCTGCCCCACCTTCACCCCTCGCAGTGCAGCACTCTGGTGTGTGCCCCGTGTGCTGCTCCCTGGGTGTGTGCGTGGGTGACCTAGTGATCCCTCACCCTCTTCCCTGCTGACCCCTCACCCCTTCCCATATGGAATGGTTTGTCCCTGTCACCTCTGGGTTTGTGGCATCCAGGAGCCCCACCGGAGCCACGTTCCTCTCTCGCTCTGTGGGTTATCCCACCAGAATGAGACACAGCGAGGGCTCACTTCCTGCCTCTAGGCACTTGGAGGAGGGGCATTGTTCCCAGGCAGATGAAAAATGACAGGGGAGAAGTGAGAAGAAATAGCAACATCCCCAGAGAGCTGAGGACCCCAGAGGAAGATGGGAAACCCCTCTCGGTGGGCAAGAAACCCCTGACCTGCCCAATGGCCCATCAGTGGGCGTGCAGAACAGTAGGTGATTCTAGCTGGGGGGGTGAGGGCTGCACTGCGAGCTGGCCAAGAACAGCCCCTTCCCACGACTGGGCGCCCCAGAGCCCCCAGGGCCCCTCACTGTGGAACTGTTCAGAGTGCCTTTGGCTGAGGGAACCACAGGTGTTGCCGCCAGACGAGGGAGAAACCCAGAAGGAGCATTTCAGGCACAGGAAGAACAGAGCATTTCTCTTCCCCACTTCGTCCTCTGCTCCCCCAACAAAGTTGTTTCCGGAAGCTCTGTTATCTCAGGGCTGGGAGGTGGTTTTCTGACCCTCTCTCACTCGGCAAACAGGCAGGTTGGTCTTGCCATGCGCCTCGGATCTCTCATCCTTGCTGCCTTCCTGGGGCAACTCCTGGGTAAGTCCTGGCTTTCCGTCAGTGCATACTTCTTCTCCCAAGGAAACCCTTGCCAGCCTTATCAGGCTCATGCAGAGAACTACTCTTGAATAACAGGAAAACGCTGGGAAACATCGCCTCACGTCGGTGGTTTTGCACGCCTTCTCTCAAGACTCTCTTAGTGTACCAAAGGAGAGAGAGGACATACCTTAGGCACATTCTCCATCTTTCCTCTCCCCTTTGATCCGTCTCTGCCTCTTCTGAACCACCTGCTGTCACCATAGGAGATCTCAGCTGTCTCCCTACTCTCACATTTCTCCCTTCCCAAGGCAAATTAGCAGATCCCGTCAATGCTGCTACAGCGACCTGAAAGCTCCGGTCCCACTGACATTGCCAGGGTCCTCAAGTCTGCCTCCTGGCAGGCACATACCTGCCACGGTCTCCAGTTTGCTCCTGGTTTTCAACACAGCCAGGGCTCCCTCTTTAGCTCAGCTGTGTGTTTACTCAGGGAGCTGGGAGCCCTCTGAGATGACAGGGGTGGGGAAGCAGCATGAATCTTGTTGCTGTAGCTCCATGGGCCCCTCAACATACTGGAGGGGTGCTGGTCCCAGCACACAAAGGTCGGGCATGACAGGCTGTTCCCTGGTCCTCTGGGCAGTAGGAGCAGGAGCAGGGACACAACACAGCTCTCCTCGGGGTCCACGCTGGGCTGCGAACTCCGAGATCTTGCCCAAAACTGCTCTCCACCTTGCTATCCGCAGGCCTCGGGAACTTCCTGCAGGGCAAGGGACAGGGAGCCTTCTCCACTGAGGCCTTGTACCCATTCCTCGATTGCTTCCCAAAGCCCTTCCCTGCCAAGCTGCTGACCTTCACTTTCTTCCAGGCATCATGGGGCAGACCACTGTCACCCAGCAAGAAGGACAAGTCACGGTGAAGCAGAGAGGCACCTTCCAAGCAACCTGCACATACAAAACCTCTTACTTTTATGGCTTGCTCTGGTACCAGCAGAGGAAAGGCCAAGTCCCACAGCTGGTCTTATATCAGGCAGCAGCTGGCCCCAAGCACAGCGGCCGTCTCCCCACGTCGCTGAACACCACAGGGCAATACAGCCTCCTGCGGCTGGAGGAAGCCGAGGTCTCTGGCAGTGCCTTGTACCTCTGTGCTGTGCAAGACACCCTGGTGCAGGGAGCTTCCTTGGCTGTGCAAAAACCCAGGGCAGGGAGGGGATGTGTCTGTGCAAGGCTGAGCTTGGGAGAGGGGCCTCAGCTCCCCGCTGGCAGTGCTGCTTCCCCTGTACACCAGGGCTCTGCAGGGCAAGATCCTCTTTCTGAAAGGGACTAGCGTCAGTGGCTCTGGAGGTGGATGGCCCTGATAATAGGGCAGAGCCTGCTGGGAATCAGTGTGCCCGGAGCTTGCTCTCCACCCCTCGGACTCGGTGTTGGGAAATCCTGCAAGCCCGGGCTGATTAGGTACATTAAACACCAGCCATCCCCACCCAGAGGCCAAGAGAGCATGTTTTGGCAGAGATTTGTGGGGTTGCTTTTTTTTGCTTCGGACAGCCCAAGTGCCAAGTCTGTGCCTGAGGGGCAGAGCAAACCACACAGAACAGCCCCAATTGCCAAAGACCCAAGAGCTCTCCGTGTCTGTAACCAACAGGCAAAGGGACCAACATACAAACGAAGCCTTACAAACCCCTGGGCTCCTTGCAGTCTGCTCAGGCGAGCTGGGCGGATCTATGATCTTCCGCAGCTCCTACACAGGGAGCAGTGTCGTAGTGATGAGCTCCCATGGCAGCAGAGGACTGTGTGTCTGGGACAAGCCAGACTTGCAGCAGGCTATGGTAGGGGAATAGGTACATTATCGCAGGGTTGTAGAGGCACATCCATCCTCCCTGACAGCAGCTGGGTTTCTCTTGTCTCAAGATAGAGGCACCTTAAATCTGGTTCCATTACGTTGTTTCCCTCTTGAACTTCAGCCGTGGCAGTTGACTTGAAGAGATGCTGTACCTTTTCTTCCGCTATCTATTGGTATGAGAATAAACAAAAACAAAGGCAGACTCAGGCAGCTACCAGCATGGGGCATCCATGGACCCTCATTCCCTTGTTCTCCCTGGGGAGACAGCCCCAGCCTTAGCCTCATATCAGCAGGCGTCTCACCTACCCCACCGGCAGACACAAAGAATGCATGACAACCTGTCTTTGTGACCTCCTGCAGGGAGACCTGCGGGTCTGGAACCCACCCCCGCCAGCTCCTATGCAAGAAGTAATGCCACAGCAGAGGATTGCATGTCTGCCACCAGTCCAGCTTTCCGCAGCCTGCAAATGCTGAGGTCTGCACGCAGAAATGAGGTTGAACTGATGAAGTTGCTTCTGGGTTTATTTGCAGGTAGATGCATTCCCTTCAAAAGCCCAGACAAACCCCTAAATAGCACCTGAGAGGAACAGGAGATTTTGTATCAGCGTATCAGCGTTCAGTTCACGTGTCTGTGTTGAACTAGTTACCTCCCCTCTCAGCACCTTTTCCTCCCTCCCGTCTCGGGCTTTGCTTGTGAGGAGTTTGAAGATGCGTGGGCTCAGACAGTGGGTCGAGTCTGTGCTGTCAAACCAACCCTTGAGCAAGGCCTTGGGCAGAAGCATTTCAGCAGGCCCAGCACATTCCTGCAGCAGTTCAGTAGGTCCCCTTCCGCAGGGGGAAGATGCTTGCCAACCCCTCTGTGAGTAAAAGCACTGATTTGGAAAGCTTCTGGCCACTCTTGGGACACTCAGGCAGCAGCCCCTGCCTCTCCTGCGGCCATGCCTTTCTCCTGCTTCCCTCTCCCCTCTGCACAGCAAATTGTGCTAGCCTTCAAGGTCATCGTCTGCCGAGCTGCCTCCCAGCAGAGCTCTGTGTGGACCAGGAGAAACATCTGTCAAGGGGAGACTGCGAGGCTCCCACTGGCCTGCTGCAGTGCCCAGGCTGCTCACTCCAGGACACCACTGACCAGGCTCCCCAGCCACAGGACATGCTCAGGAGAGCACTTCTCGGGAGAGACAAAGCAAGGCAGGCCACTGGCTCTGGAGCAGCCTTCCTCTGTTCCCAGGAACAGCGCCTTAGAAGGGCCCACAGCACTGCATCCCACACTCCCCTTCCTCAGTGAACTGGGAAGAATCCCCTTTTGCCTCCACTCTCATCACCCTAGACTAACACCTTGCTCACAGAGCGCTTGGCAGAGTGTCCACAGAGGGAAGGACAACACAGAGAAAGAGGCTGGGATGCAGCAGAACTTTCATGCGGGTCGTGGTTTAACCCCAGCCCGCAACTAAGCACCACACAGCTGCTCGCTCACTCCCCCTCCAGTGCGAAACTAAGCACCACACAGCCGCTCGCTCACTCCCCCTCAGTTGGATGGGGGAGAGTATCAGAAGAGTAAAAGCGAGAAAACGTATGGGTTGAGATAAAGACAGTTTAATAGGCAAAGCAAAAGCCCCCTGCACAAGCAAAGCAGAACAAGTAATCCATTCACTGCTTCCCATGGGCAGGCAGGTGTTCAGCCATCTCCAGGGAAGCAGGGCTCCATCACGCCTAACGGTTACTTGGGAAGACAAACAGCATATGTCCAAATGTCCACCCTTCCTTCTTCTTCCTCCAGCTTTATATGCTGCACATGACATCATAGGGTATTGAATATCCCTTTGGTCAGATGGGGTCAGCTGCCCAACTGTGTCCCTTCTCAACTTCTTGTGCTGCTTCTCAACTACTTGCTGGTGGGGTAGTGTGAGAAGCAGAAAAGGCCTTGACTCTGTGTAAGTACAGCTCAGCAGTAACTAAAACATCCCTGTACTAGAATTATAGAATAGTTTGGATTGGAAGGGACCTTTAAAGGCCATCTAGTCCAACTGCCCTGCAGTGGGCAGGGACATCTTCAACTAGATCAGGTTGCTCAGAGCCCTGTTCATCCCAACCTGGAGTATTTCCAGGGATGTGTCCCTCTGATCTACCACCTCTCTGGGCAACCTGTGTTTCACCACCCTCACTGTGAAAAATTTCTTCCTTAGATCTAGTCTAAATCTACCTTCTTTCACCTTAACACCATTACCCCTCGTCCTATCACAACAGGCCCTGCTAAAATGTCTGTCCCCATCTTTCTTATAAACCTCCTTTAAGTCCTGGAAGGCTGCAACAAGGTCTCCCCAGAGCCTTCAACTCTCCAGGCTGAACAACCCCAACTCTCTCAGCCTGTCCTCACAGCAGAGCTGTTCCATCCCTCTGATTATTTTCGTGGCCCTCCTCTGGACCCGCTCCAACAGGTCTGTGTCCTCCCTGTGCTGAGGGCTCCAGAGCTGGATGCAGCACTGCAGGTGGGTCTCACCAGGGCAGAGTAGAGGGGCAGAATCCCCTCCCTTGGCCTGCTGGCCACGCTGCTTTGGATGCAGCCCAAGATACGGTTGGATCTGTTCCAGGATCTTCGCAGGCACGGAGGTGAGGCTGACAGGTCGGTAGTTCCCAGGTCCTCCTTTCTGCCCTGTTTCAAAATCAGTGCAATGTTTCCCGTTTTTCTGAAGTTCCTCCAGAGACTTCACCTGACTGCCATGTCTTTTCCAATATCATGGAGCGTGTCTTGGCACCTATATCAGCTAATTCCCTCAGGACTCTGGGATGCGTCTCATCAGGTCCCATAGACTTGTGTATCAACACTGTTTCCAGCACAAATCCAAAACATTGCCCTAGCTACCATGAAGAAAAATAACGCTATCCCAGCCAAAACAAGCACAATGCCACAAATGACAAAAACGAAGTCACTCCGAGTGCAGTGCCATCGTGAAGAGAGCACCAGGTGCAGTGAGGTTTGGTGCCCTTTGGCTGTAGCAGAGTTCCTGCAGGGCGTCCCTCAGCTTTCACTGAGGAGTGAGGGGGGCAGCAAGTCTCCCCCAAACTGGCCTGGTAGACCAAAGGGGCTCCGAAGCCAACTAGGAGAGGAGAGGGAAAGGAGAGACTAGAGGGAGAGAAAGGCAGAGCCGTGCTTTCAGGCTGATCCCTTCCAGCCTTACTTTGCAAGGAGAGCTGGGCATGCTCAAACTCTCCGAAGGAAAATGGCCAGGAGCTCCATCCTCCCTTCACTCACATGTCAGCACACATAAAAACACATGTGTATGCACATGTAGTTACGCAGGAACCCCTGTGTAATTGCATCCTCATTACAGGAAAGACAGAAGGTGTATTGGGGTCCAAGCTGCAGGGTTTTTTTTGGAAACTCAGCCTGTTCACATGCAAAGTCGGTGCATGAGTGGCAAAGCCAAAGCTAGAGACCATGCTTATTGCTGCAGCTCCAGGCGTTCCCCATGTAACAAGTCAAAAGAATCCCTAAGTTTCAAAAGAACCAGCCCATCCCTGGTGATTGCTGTAGGGCGGTTGTAGGAGCTTGTCCCAAGCTCTTCCATCATTTCCCCCCACGGGAACTCTTCCGGTACTCAGAAGCCATCCTGCAAAGTCTGAAGTTTGCGCTCAACACGGATGTGAGGCAACGATGTAGAGGTGACTGAAACCTTCAGG